CTTTATTTATATTTTTTTCTATCTTACTAGCATGGTTTTTAACAAAATTAATGAGAAATTTTAAAGTCATAATATCATATCATATGATATTATAATTATAATATTATCTAACGATATATAGGTTTGTTAAACAACTATAATTTTTAAAAGAATTAAAAATAAAAAATAAAAAACCTTCAAATTTTAACCAAATGGGTAACAAGTAATACTGCTTCCATTCACGCATAAAAGCAGGTTCTAATGATATGTACTTAAGCTCTATCATCTTGGTAAATTTACAATTATACATAATATAATTAGTATTTTCTTTGTAATAATTTTTCTCTTTTTGTCAAAGTCAGAATCTTAACCGCTAAACAGGCAGCATTGTCTGCTGGTTAAGGTCAAGTGGAAAAGTCCAGGCAATGAGGGGCACCTGGGTTGGCTGCAGTGGCGGAGCCACATAACATATACGCCTGGAAGGGCCACGGGCACCCCTGGTCTTTTGAAAAATTTTTAATTAGAACCCTATACTTTTAAAAAGTATAAATAGGACCTTAAGATTTTAAATATAAAATAAGAATTTATTAATTATTTGAGAAATTATTAACTTATATCTCTTGGTTTCGTTTTAATTTCAGTTAAATCTGGCTTTAATGGTTAATATAGTATCTCTACAAAAAAAATTTAAAATTACTTTGTATTGTTATGTTTCACCTTTCATTTTTCTTTGATAATGTTTAAGGAAAAGATAAAATTTTCTTTATTTTGTACATGTAGTTGGTTATAGGTGAATGGTAAATTTTGTTTTTTAGTGTAGAAGACCACTACTTATAAATAATGTAAAATTTTAATTTCTATAATATCTCTTATTATTATCATAATTTTAATTGATTATTAAAAAATTGTATCATATGGGTTATTTTATCTCCTAACTAAGGATTACACCCTGCAAATGACTAGAATTAATTTGGGTGCCAATGCAATAATTAATTTCATTGAAAATGAACTAATAGCATGGGATCATAAACTCTAATCATATCCTCATAATACAAATTACCAGAATTTGGTATGTTAATGGTTGGGACTAGATTTTCAAAGATTTCTTTGTTTCTTGCTAAGTTTCTTTCTTTTGAGCTAGTTGCTCAATTTCATCGCAAATTCTAATTGATCTATCTTTATAAAGTAAAATGAAATTAGGCTGATAATTAATAGACTAATCATTGAATTACATCCAAAATTCTGCTTAAGAATGTTGAATTCTTAGTGGCAAACTGGGACCAACTCTTTCTCATTTGTCATTCTTTTGTTTGGGCTTAGGAACGCAAGTCATTTGATGAAAAGTTTATTCGAATGGACACAAAGAGGCTCTGTGAGTTGACATCTGCCGTTGACAGCCTTCAGTTGAAGCCTTTAGTTGATCTAACTAGTCGTGCTCTTGCACGAATTATTGAAGGGAAACCCCTGAGGAGATACGTGAGATTTTTCATTTGCCTGATGATCTTACTGAGGTGGCTGTTACTAGTGGAGCCTCACTTAGTGTGTCATGTGCCAACAGTATTTGTTTATTTATTTATTTTTAACTTGTATTTCATTAGTTCAGGAAGAGAAGTTAGAGCCTTTAAAAAACACAACTGATGACCCACG